TAGTCGTAGTAGTGGTAGTAGTAGTAGTAGTAGTAGTAGTAGTAGTAGTACAAGTACTAGTAGTAGTAATAGTAGTAGTAGTAGTAGTAATAGTAGTAGCAGTAGTAGTAGTAGCAGTAGTAGTAGTAGTAAGAGTAGTAGTAATAGTAGTCGAAGTAGTCGTAGTAGTAGTAGTAGTAGTAGTAGTAGTAGTAGTAGTGGTAGTAGTAGTAGTAGTAGTAGTAGAAGTAGTCGTGGTGGTAGTGGTAGTTGTAGCTGTGGTGGTGGCAGGTGGTAGTAGCTGTAGTAGTAGCAATATGGTCGTGCTAGCAGTGGTAATCGTAGGAGTCGTAACAGTCATGGTGGTCGTAGAAATTGCAGGTGTCGCTGCAGCTGGAGGGGCCAGGAGGTGGACTGCTGGGCCCCTGGCCCCTGCGTTAGGCTGCTTCGGGTCTTCTGCCGCAAGGGTGTCGTTGCCCCCCTGGCACCGCCCCTCCCACTGACACGGCCGCACGCGCCCTGGTGGGCTGGTGCTGCAAAAGGGTCCACCTGGCCGTCCGGCTGCACGCAAGAGGGACTCCCTAGGCGAGAGTGGCCTGTGCTGCGTGGCGTCAGGGGGGCCGTGGGGCGGTGTGTGGGGGGAGGGGGGCGGGTCGAATGCAAATCAATACCAGTGCGCGAGCTAGTGCTGCGGGGAACTGGAAGCCGCACACATGTGCACCAAGGTGCGCAGGCCAACGTCCGAAAAATGGGGTATGTATTCGGTTGGACGCCTCACGCTCGCGCACCTACCCCGATGAATGTACTGTGCGCGGTGACAGATGGGAACATAGTAGCGTGGTAGAGTTCCTGCCCTCGAAGGACCCCTGTGGACCCGCACACAGTGTCACTCTGGCGAAAGGCCACCCTTAACGTGTAGCTTGTTGAGGCTATCCAAACAGCCGAGAGGCCTGGAAGAACTGCTCCAGCAATACGAAGGAACATAACGATGCTGATGTTGCTGCTCCGTGGACCTCGCCCAAGAGGCGCTCTGAGAATGGTTCCGAGGGCGAATCCAGCCAGTGCGACGAGGGTACCCCCAGGAGACCCACAGAGGCGAAAACAAGGGAGGGCATCGGAGTCGGTGACTGTTTCTCGTCTGGAGGATATCGGCACGCATCGTCGAACCGGGCCGATCGCGGACGGCCACGCGGAGGCCGAGGAGATGACGCTCCGCTCGCGGGAGTGGGGCGAGGCGCCTGCTTGATGTACTCAGCCCCCGCTTTATCCATGCTCAGCGTGCAGTTGTGGGCCCTGCCCCGACCCTTCCTTCTGCCAGTCTGCTCCCTGCTAGGGGTTGAGAGCAGGGAAGGAAGAGGAGGGAGGATGGAGGAGGAGATGGTAGGAGGAAGCATCTAGGCAGTGGCTTCCGAGGCGGGGACTTGGTGTTCAGGCGTGGGTCCTGCCCAGAGACCACCTGTGGCCATCGCCTCTCGCGAGGAGGAGGGGGAGGAAAAGGAGGAGGAGGATGAGGAGGAGGAGGAGGAGGAGCCAAACCCAGGAGGAGGGCCGTTTCTGACATGCCGACCCCTGTCCCAGGCTTCGTGGTGTTTCCGAACGGACTACAACATTTGAGGCCAAACCGTGGGATATACGATGGGGGGACGTCCATCCTCGATAGAGGTGCGTCCGAACAGCGCCCTTGGGGTGTATCCCTTGAGTTTCCCCTTCTTCTGAACGGCCAGACTTGTCGGGCGAAACTCGGGGATTGGGGGAGAAAGTCGCCTGGGGGCTCTGAAGGGAATCTTGGGGTGCGTTCTGACAGCAATGTCGAGGCGAACCCAATGGCGGACCTCACCCGGGGTACGTTTTGAAGAGAACTTCGAGGCGAATCCAGCGGTGGCCACGAGGGCCTCCCAGCAGGCCCACAAAGGCGAAAACGAGAGAGTTGGTGGCGGTATTGGTACTTTTTGGCGCTCCGCGCGGATTTCCTGGACTTGCGCTTGACCCCACTCCCTGGCGCGACTCCGGGGCCGACTCCGGCGCCGGCGGCGCCGCCGGGGGGCCCAGCGCGGATCCAAGAAATCCGTGCGGAACGCCAAACGTTTACGTTTGTGGCGATTTTTCTTTTTCGACTTATCCTCCTCCGAGTCTGGGGGGTGGGCCAGGGAAGCAGGGGGAGGACGAGGGAACCCTGCAACAGGGCGGGGCAAAGCACGAGGCCCAGGCCGCGCCGCTCAAGTGCGGGCGACCTGCATCGCCAGGCGCGGAGGGCCCCCATCAGAACAAAACCGGCACCGACCATGAGGTAGAATTCTCGACGATCGGGGATCTTCTGACCCGGGTCAATCCAGACCCGGGTCAGCAGGAAACCTGACAACTGCAATGCAGGAACAAAAACTGCAACGCAGGTCTTCGCAAACCCGGGTCAGCCAATAGGCGCGGCCGCCTCGCGGCCACGAGCGGCTCGCTAACCCGGGTCAGCCAGAGGGGGTGTTCGCAGGATCCTGCAGGATCCGGCGCCCTGGCTGACCCCCGTCTGCACTGACCCCCGTCTCGAGGCCCCCGAGACGAGGGCACAGCGATGCCACCGGCGCCGCCCGACTACGACGACGACTACGACGACGACGACGACGACGACGACGACGACGAAGCCGACGACGAAGCCGACGACGAAGTCGACGATGACCTGGGCACGCCGCCGATTCTTCGCATCCCCCTGCCCCTCCGCTCGGCGCGCCTGCCCCCCCCCCCTGCCTGCCGCCCCGGGGCCCAAGCTGCCCCCCCCCGGACGGCCCCGCGCTGCCGGGCCGCCCCACGACCCGCAGGCGCTGGTTACTCCAGGTTTCGTAATAAAAGGGAGGGGGTGTGGACCCTCCAAGACAAGCCATTTCAGACCTCCCCCGTGAAAGAACCCTCCAAAACAGCGTTTCCAGACGCCCCAGGCCCTCCAAGATTGCCCGGAAGAGACCCCCCCCCGAAATGAGACCCCCCTCCCTTTTATTACGAAATCTGGAATAGGAAAATACATGTCCAGAGAGGCCACTCGGCCCGAGCGCGTGCAGCACGAGGAGCTGGGTTTCGCCGGGGGCTCCAGAGTCAACGGGGCATGTGGACCCGCACTGCGCTCGCACCCTGCGGCCCACAGGCCATCACGACCAATGGGGCAAGTGAGCTCGCCATCCCTGCAGCCATTACGCGAGCCCGCCGCGAGTACTGCAAAAAAGGAACACGCGAGACAACGAGCAGCATCACTGACCCGTTGGGATACTTGACGGCCCGGCGACCTGATGATGATGAAACTTAGAATGTAGAGAACGATGAAGATGCGAATCATGCGGTGATGATTTTTCCACGTTCGGCACCTTCAGCGAGGATTGCGTCGACGCTGCCAGCTCGCGTCGATGCCTCGCATCATCGCGCATTCGGCCAGCCTTGCCCATAGCAGCACGAAGCTTTCTGCGGACTTCCCTGTTCCAGCGAACAGCAGCCGGGTCACAGGAAAGGACTTCCATGTTATCGCCAAGCGTGGCCAGTTGTGACCTCAAAGCCAACAGGTAGCGAGAACGTGAATTCCTTACTTCAACATGATTCGAGATCGATTGAGGTAGCGAATCATTACTATCTTACAAACGTTGAGAGCGCGAGCTCCGATCTACAGACAACTGGGGTAAACCTGGGACAGCGGGAAGACCATCAGGAGGCTCACCAGCAGGAAACGCCTGCCCATCACGCAGCCCACGACTACCAGGAAGCGACCCACCATCGAAGCGACGCTCACGACGATGAGGAAACCAACGACCAGCACGAGGCCCACGACGCTCTGGAAGCTCACGGCCATCAGGAAGCTCACGGCCACCAGGAATCCAGAGGCCATCTTGAACCACGCGATCAGCACGAGCAGGAAGCGCACAACGCCTAAGAGGGAGCGCGCCACCGTCCTCGCAAAGCTCACGGCCACCAGGAAGCCCACGATGGTCAGGAAGCCAGTTCATCAGGAAAGTCACGTCCATCAGAGGGCGCTCGATCATCAGGGGGCACGCGCTCATCAGGAAACTCCCGATCAGTACCAGCACGAAGCACCTGCCCATCAGGAAGCCCACGAGCATCAGGAAGCGCACCACCATCAAAAAGAAGCTCAAGACAGCCGGATATCTAACGACCACTTAGAAGCTCACGGCCATCAGGGAGCTCGCGACCACCAGGGAGCACACGACCATCTGGAAGGGCACGGCCACCAGGAGGCTCACGACCAGCAGGAAGCTCAATACCATTTTGAACAATTCGACCAGCACCAGCAAGGAGCACGTGCTCATCAAGAAGCTCACGGACACCAAGAAGCGCACGATCATAACCGCACGGCTCACGGCCATCAGAAAGCTCGCGAGCATCATGAAACTCACGACCATCAGACAGTCTAAAGGAGCACGACCATCGGGAAACTGCAAGAATTCACAACCTGGAGGAAGCTCAAGACCGTCAGGAATCCCACGGACATCAGGAAGCACACGACAAACAGGAAGCACGCGACCATCAGGGGGATCGTGAAGCCCATGGTCCTCGCGAAGCTCCGAGCCGCCCAACCACGGAAGAGCATCCAGGACGCATTCCAAGGGCACCCACAGAGCAGGAACGCCAGCAGGCCAACTCTACTGGCTGTCATGAACAGCAGGAGCATCACGCACACTTGGAAGTTCGCGACTGTCAATAATACCACGATCATCGGGAACCCCACGTCTATCAGGAAACGCTCGGCCAAGAGGAAACCGAGGGGCATTGGAAGGCACGCGACCGTCAGGAAGTTGACCACTAGCAACGCCAGGACGCCCAGCTCCAGCGCAGAGAGTCTCAGGATGAGCAGCCGCTCCCAGAATTTGGAGGCCAGCATCATCAGCTGAACGAAAACCGCCACCACCACTGCTCCGGGGAACCTTGGGAAGCGGAGCCATCGTCAAGACGATCGTACTGATCACGAGGGCCAGGAGCATTGTAGCCACCGCTGCCGTCATCATCGCCGGAATCTTGTGGAGCGCCATCAGCATCGTGATGTCCAGCGGCAGAAAGGCGAGAAGGCGCAGGCTGGAGAGAGAGGCTGACGCGGGACTCCCCGTTCGACTTCTGGCGCCCATGGTCCACAATGGTGAAGGACACAAGGTCATGCGTACTGTGGGTGACCAGGTCTATGGCCAGCTTGTTTTGCATACCCCACGAGCGGGTTGAGTACAGGCATACATGCCGTTCGACTTGCCCGTGTGCGAATGCAGGCGGGCCGAAACCTGTCGACCAAGCCACAGCTGCTGCACAATCTAGTCGAGACGCGCAGCATGAACCATCGGAAGCCTGCAGGAACGAACGGGAAGCAGAGGCTGGCACGTGCCAGCAAGGGGCAACGGATCCAGCAATGGCAAGAGCCAACATGGCGATACGGATGAACCAATGACTATGGTGATGATGATGATGCTGATGGGGATGATGATGATAATGGCAATGATGATGGTGATAGTGATGATGATGGTGATGATACAGATGGTGATGGTGATGGTGGTGATAAAAATGGTGATGCTGATGGTGATGGTAACAATGGCGGTGATGATGGTGCTGGTGATGGTGATGGTTGTTGTGGTGGTGCTGGTGATGCTGATGGTCGTGGTGATGGTGCTTATGATAGTGATGGTGATGGTGATGGTAATGGTGGTGGTGGTGGAAAAAGGATGATGGTACTATTGATGATGATGGTGATAGTCGTGATGATGACGGCGATGACGATGATGATGCTGGTGATGGTGATGGTGATGGTGATGGTGATGATGGTGATGCTGATGGTGATGGAGATGGTAATGGTGATGGGGGTAGTGATAGTGATGATGATGGTGATGATGATGACGATGATGCTGATGATTATGCCGATCATGCTGATGGTGATGCTGATGGTGATGATGGTGATGGTAATGGTGATGGCGATGATGAAGGTGATGGTGACGGTGACGGTGGTGATGGTGGTGATGATGGTGATGGTGATGGTGCTGGTGGTGGTGGTGGTTATGGTGATGGTAATGATGATGCTGACGCTGACGATGATAGTGATGGTGATGGTGATGGTGATGATGCTGATGATGGTGATGATGGTGATGGTGATGGAAATGGTAATGGTGATGGCGAGGGCCATGGTGATGGTGGTGGTGATGGTGATGATGACGGTGATGGCGATGGTGATGGTGGTGGTGGTGATGGTGATGGTGATGCTGATGGTGGTGGTGATGCTGATGGTGCTGGTGCGGGTGATGATCATGGTGATTGTGATTGTGATGCTGATAGTAATGGTGATGGTGATGATGCTGATGACGATGACGACGATGATCGACCGTACCTGGAGGGCAACAGTCTGGCCACACGCTCAGTTGCCAGACGATGACGACGATGATGATGATTATGCTGGTGGTGGTGGTAGTGATGGTGGTGGTGATGAGCATGGTGATGGTGATGATGGTGGTGATTTTAATGGTAATGGTGATGGCGATGGCGATGGTGATGGTGGTGATGGTGGTGGTGATGGTGATGCGAATGCTGATGGTTATGCTGATGGCGATGGTGATGGTGATGGTGATGACGATTATACGATAGCGATGATGATGATGATGATGATGATGATGATGGTGATGGTGATGCTGATGAGGATGAGGATGAGGATGATGATGATGATGATGATGATGCCGATGATGGTGATGGTGCTGATGATGAGAATGTTGGTGATGGTAATGGTGATGGTGACGATGATGCTGATGCTGATCATGATGTGGTGGTGGTGATGGTTATGATTATGGCGATGCTGATGATAATGGTGATGGTGATGACGATGATGCTGGTTGTGATGATGACGGTGATGGTGGTGAAATCGGGTGTGGGGGTAATGTCACGAACCGCAGGCCCGCCAAGGCGCAGCCCCTTGAGGCATGACAGCCATCGTGCCACCAGAAGGAACGCCAGACCCGGAGAACACGAGGCTCCCCTGGCCACGGCGAGGCCCGACAAAAACGGATCGCCTCCCCTGCGCAAAGAGCGTGGTCCGGCGGCAGATGAGCAACGAGGCGCGGCGGCAACCGAGAAAAAGAGAGAGCAGGGGAAGCAAGTATGCTGAATATGCGTCGCTGCTGGCCCTCCGCCTGAAGGCCCCTTTCCCAAGAAAGCAGGCTCCCTCTGAGAGTCGCCAGCAGGGGAGAGGCGGAGGGAGCCTTTGTGGGCCCTGGAAACGGCAAGGCCGTTTTTTCACCGTTTCCAAAAAAATGTCCCTTGAAAATGGAAACGGCAAAAAAACGGCGACCGGAAACGGCAAAGAAAACGGCTCCAGGATTGGAGCCGGAGCCGGTCAAAAAACGGCGACGGAACCGGTAAAAAAACGGCGTCGGAACCAGCAAAAAAACGGCAAAACGGAACCGGTAAAAAAACGGCCCTGTCGTTTCCAGGGCCCCCGAAGGAGGGAGCACAGTCGGGGCCGTCCGTGGAAAGGAGGCCCGCGAAGGCACGGGCTCCGTCACGCGGGCAGCGCTCCCGGACGCGCAGAGGGCACGAGAAATGCGCCCCAGCGGCCGGAGGATGGGGCCTATGGGAGGTTGGGCCCAGAGGGCAGGCCCGCCTTACCCTTATGTCGGGCGTGTCCCCCTACAGGGGGATTTTCGACGAAAGATGAGAAATACCCTAAACATACTCCAAAAAGGTAAATACAAATACTCAAAAAAAAGTCCCCAGACTATTCTTGGACTATTTTTGACTTATGTTCGAAGTATCTTTTATGTTTCGTCGAAAATCCCCCTGCATGGGGGAAAGGCCCGACTTAAACTTACCCCCAAGACAGAAAAGGGTCCCTGGTTGAGGCCCCTCGTCCGGAGGGCCCCATCCCGCTGGGCCCCAGCTCTGAGCAGGGATCGACCGTCCCGGCAGTCCTGCAGGCCTATACCACGAATTGTTCTCAGAACCCAAGGCTGTTCTAGGAATAAAAACAATGTTCTTAGAAAACAAGCCCGCTGTGCTCAAACAAGACAGTCCCAGTCAGACATGTTCTGAGAACATTTCGTGCAGACCACACAAGGTCCTTAGAAAATCCTTCGGTAGGCCCGCAGGCGAGCTGGGACGCTTCGCCACTGCCTGACATCTCTGAACCGCCGATCGATTGGCAAGACACGAGGGGGGAGCCCGTCGTCAATGGTCGGCCAGGGGGCCGACGATTGGCAAGACACGATTGGCAAGCCCCGCTTGCCGACGATTGGCAAGACACGATTGGCAAGGTCGGCCAGCGACCAGACAGACCCGACTGTGCCACGCGCAGGGGGCGCGCGCCGGGCCCCCCCTGCGCACCATCGCCCAGAGTCCGTCGCGTTCCTGCGCAGGATGACCAGGCTCCGCTGGTGCTGCCCCCCCGCGACCCGGGCGAGAGGAGGCGAGGCGAGGCTCCTCCTCTCTGCCGAACCAGCAACGCACACACACACATACCCATAGGGGGATCGGAGAGGGCTATGGGTGCGAGTTGTCGGACAGGGGTCCCCGCTCGAGCGGGAGCGTTCCCCAGGGTCCGACAACCCGCACCCATACCCACAGCCAGTCCTCCTCCCAACGACCTCCCTGTGGGTATGGGTGTGTGTTGTTCGTTCGGCATCTCTCCCTCTCGGAAGAGGAGGTCACTGTCGGCGCCTCCGGAGCCTCTGCCAACGAGTGCGGCAGCGTCGTGCCGTGACGACCCTGGCGCTGGTTCCCGACGCCGCGCGAACCGTTCTCAAGCTGCACCGCTCGGACCGCTCGGCGGCCTCTCGATCGCCGGGTCATTTCCATGTTGGCCGATTCGGGACCACCGGCGGCGATCGACCGTGAGCGCCCGCGACGGGGCCGCTGCCGCGTCCCCCCCACACGAAACTTCCGTGCGTTGGCAAGCGACCCAATGAGCCCGACCCTCGCCGACGCGGGCGACGCCGCGATGCCCAGAAGAGGCCTCAAAAATGTTACAATTGAGCGGGGTCTTGAGGGGGCCCTGAAGGTCTCCGGGGGCATCTGGAGCATGAACAGAACCTCGATGACCTGTCCCCGTCATGGGCGATGTCGTCGGACGCACAACGAACTAACGGTCACAGCCCCGCACTTCGACCTGCATATCTCGCTCCCTCTCTCGCTCTGTCTCTCTCTCTCTCTCTCTCTCTCTCTCTGCACAACACTCGACATGGCTCGGACGTCCATTCCCCGTGCATGTTTCGGTCTCGGGCGTGCGCTGGATGGCCAAGCACGCTCCTGGATTTAGGTCGGGCATGTCCCCATGTCCTCCTAATGCCGGTTTTTAGGGCGAGAAATCACACATGGTCAGACAAATACACAAACATATTGAAAAACACTATCAAGATCGTGCCCATACTATTTCTTTATTATTTTGTAGAGGGACACGCCCCACTTAGTCAGCGTCTTCTCATTCGGAGTTTCGACACTGAGCGGAAGGGGGGGAGGGGGGGGTCTGGCTCAGGACATCTGCTCAGTGCGGCTGTTTGGAAACGTGCGTCCGCTGGGGGAGACTCCACCTGCTCGAGACAGGCGCCGAAAAACAGCCAAGATCTACTCCATGGGGAAGGGGGGGGTGCGAGAGCCCGCGCCGATCGGCAAAACCATGCATAAAAACCGTCACCATGAATTAGCGATCCCATGGATTTGGCGCGCGGTCACCAAATCCATGGATCGGGGGAGGTGCCCTCCCCAAAATGCGGCCGGTGCCGCCTCGCTCGGCGGCGGAAGTCCGCCATCTCCCATGGAAGCGGGACCCGTCGCCAATCCATGCCCCCTTGATCCATGTGTGCGATCGCCTGAGAAGAGCACACCGAGGCGGGCAGAGCTCCAAGAATCGCCGACAGCTCCCTCTCCCGATGCCCGGCAAGGGCGCCGCACCGCGACGGCCCGCCGCGCCTTCTTGCTCCTGCCCCCTGCGCCCACCCAGGTGGGCCTCGCGCCGAGAGAGCGCCTCGGGCCCTTGCCTTAGGTCGGGCATGTCCCCCTACAGACGGATTTTGGGCGAAAAATTAAGATACCCAAGCAAAGCTCCAAAATTGTCAAAATAAGAAACAAAAAATCGTCCCCAGACCATGTTTTGCCTAGTTTTGAATGTTCCTCCTGTAGAGGGACGTGCCCGACTTAACCCTTGCCCTCACGAGCTTACTTTCGAGCGTCGTCGAGCCGATCCCCGTCCCCATTAGCGCGGGCTGGGCCCCACTGGCCGAGTGGCCCCCCTGGATGTCGCCATCGCTCGGACGTCCATTCCGTGTTTTGTTCGGTTTCGTGCGTGGCTTTTTCGCCACATGATCAAGGATGCTCCTCGATGGTCCTCGCCGAAGGAAAGATGCAAACGTCCGAGCGATGCCGAGGGATGGGGACACGGGCTGCGCCCTTCGGGTCTCGCGGGGCGTGTTCCCCGCCGAGGTGGTGAGGCGGTGGGGCGCGAGATGGGGATGGATATTAAGGGGAGAACAAGCCTACCTCGTTTTTTCACCACCCTCGCTTCCAAGAGATACCAAACGATGCCAAAGTACAGCCTGTACTGGTCAGGCCGCTTGACGAGGAGGCGCGTGGTATGACTTGGTTTTGCCTGGCAGCGAAAGCGGGGTAGGTAATTCACGCTCTGAAAAATGTGGATAGTGAAGGGCTAAACGATGATGCGCCCGCGATTTGAGAGCGCGCCGCCACAGAGCGCCTGCGGCACCCCGACCCGCGCGTCCAGTGTCGCTGTTTTTTGGTTGTTATCCTTCTCTCTCTCTCTCTCTCTCTCTCTCTCTTTCTCTCTCTCTCTATATTTATTTTGTGTTTTTTGTTTGTTATATTTGTTTCTCTCTTTCTCTTTCTCTCTCGCTCTTTCTCTCTTTTGCTCTGTCTCTCTCTCCTTTCTCTCTCTCTCTCTCTCTCTCTGTTTCTCTCTCTCCTTCTCTTCTCTTAGACAGAAAGAAACAATGCCATGTAACAAACAAAAACAAATTAACTCTTGGCGCCCCGCACGGATTCCCTGGATCGGCGCTGGATCCCCCCCCCCCCCCTGGCGCGCGAAGCGCCGCCAGGGAAGGCCCAGGCGCCGACCCAGGAAATCCGAGCGGAACGCCAAAAGCTCACGCTTATATCTACTTCGATGTTTCTATCTCTCTCTCTCTCTCTCTCTCTCTCTCTTTCTCGCTCTCTCCCTCTCTCTAAGACGAGGCTAGGCTTGTGATGGAAGACGCCTCAGAGAGAGGCTTTCGTAGGAAAAACCATAAATTAGCTAAAAAGTATACGATTTTTTTTTTTAGAAACATGGAATTCGGTTTTGAATACGTTTTGGATGCCTCAAAATTGCAGAGACGATTTTGCCTACCCCACGGGATGTGCGGACCGATGTCATCATTGAAACTGAGCCACCCACCAGTACGCGAGAAACCCTTTGAAGACGCAGGGCCAAGCAACCAAAAATCATGTTCATCAAGCTGCCGCTGTCTCCTGCTTGCTTTCCTGTGCTGTCCTCTGCTCTGCCCCCACCCCCAGGAGGGCAGGAAGGGAAAGGCAGGAGGAGGGCAGCAGGGGAAGGGAAGAAGGGCCAGGGAGGGTAGGGGAAGGAAAGGAGGAGGAAGGGCAGGAGAGAAGAAGAGAGGAAGTCAGCAGGAGCAGAAACAGCAGCAACAGCAACAGCAGAAAGGGGCAGGAAGGTGAGAGGCAGCAGGAGCAGCGCAAGGGAAGAGGGAGGAAGGAGACACGACTTCCAGGCGCCCCAGGAGTCAGGCTCTCCGGGCGCACAGGAGCACGAGGACTTACATGCCTCGTGCTCGCGCAGAGGGGCGGCGAGCGGCTGTGGGGTTCCTCCCCCTCCTTTGGTGTTCCTCTTCCTCCTCCCTCCTCCCCCCCCCCCTCGTCCTCCGCCCCTCCTCCTCCTCCTCCGTCCCTCCCTCCCTCCCCTCTTCTCCCCTCCCCTCCCCTCCCCCTCCTTCACCTCCTCCTCCTCCACATCACCGCCGTCGCGGCTTCGAGCCGCGAAGCGCCGCCTACCTCGGCAGCTCGCCGTGCTCCCGCGCGTGCTCCGCCACGGAGGCGATGGTGGCGTGGACCGCCTCCTTGTCCACCTGGGCGGCCGCCAGCCTCTTGAACTCCGCATTCACCACGCGCCTGATGCGCACGGCGCTCCTCCTCGTCTCCTCGTCCTCCAGGTGGTGCAGCAGCGCACCCTCGACCTGGTGCACCGCCGCCGCATCACCGGTGTACTTGTACACCACCGAGAGGGCCTCAGGAACGGCCACGCCGTAGAAGTGGAGTTCGTCGCGCAGGTGCTGCACGCCTGCTCTGAAAGAATCCACCGCGTGATCGAAACGATCTCCGTCGATCACGAAAAGCTTGTCGTCGGCCTTGGCCTGCAACTCAGTCCACGTTGCAGTGCTGGCCATGCCCCTGCGCCACGGCAGGTCGCCGTCGCCGTTTGGCGTGCCCATCAAGGCCACCAGCTTCTCGTAGCACGACCGCGCCTGGCCGACAGCGTCGCTGTTGTCGTGCTCACGCTGCGCCTTGACCAGGGCGCGGGCGTTCTTGACGACCAGCGCCACCCTGTCCTGGAGTGTTCCCGGCACTGGCGCCTGCCCGTCGATGGAATCAGACGCGAGCACCAAGGCCGTCAACAAGGCGCGGTCGTGAGCAGGCTTGGAGCGGATGGCAGGCGTGCTGCCCGTGGCGAGGAATGCCTTCTGCTCAGCCAGCGCCCTCGAGGTCAATCCCAAGATGCGCACCGTGTCGCTGAGCTGGCCAACCTTGCAGCACCACGACTCGACGCTGGCCCACAACCGCTGCGCCGTGGAGCACACGGCACCGAACGAGTCATCATCATCCACGGCGGCCAGCTGCGCGAGAGACGCCAGAAACATCTCCTCGATCTCGCTGCCGAACTCGTCTGTCGCCCGCGCCTCGGCGGGAGGGCGCTCCTCCTCCTCCTCATCCCCCCACTCCGTCTCGTTGTCCTCCTGCTCCTCCTCCCTCTTCTCCTCGTCCTCTCCCCCTGGGTGTGCCTTCTCCCTTCCTCCTCCTCCCCTTCCTCTCCCTCTTCTCCATCCTTTTTTTTGTTGATGCCTTTGTTGTCGACCTAAGGGCGCGATAGGAAAACCAGCACCATTGGGCAACGCGAAGTACGGCCACCCAGCGATTGCTTCAAGAACACTGAGACTGCCGCCGCGCAGGCATATGTGCATACCCAGGGATGGCAGTCTACGCACGCCGAGAAACCTACAACAACTCTCGCACCACCGCCAAAAGAGAAAATGGATTCAAACACAGAATTCGTCGGCTCACGGCCGCCCAGGAGAGGAGAGAGTGACCTGCGAGCTGCGAGTTGCGAGGTTGGCGGCCGCGTCTCTGCCGCGGGCGCCCCAGGGCGCGGGCGCGC